GCTCTCTGTGAATTGGAGGCCAGCCTGGTCTATACAGTGACATAGTGAGTTCGAGGCCGCATAGTGAGACCCTTTCTTTCTAAAAAAAAAAAAAATAAATTCCATGTGGGGAGACCCAGACAGACAGGCAACTCCCGGGGCCTCTCTGGCACGGTATATGTCATGTGTGGAGACCCAGACAGACAGGCAGATCCCTGGGACTCTCTGGCCAGGCATCTAAGCTTATTTAGTGAACTCTAAGCCAAGAAAAGACTGCCTCAAACAAAAACAAAATCCCCAAACAAAACAAAATCTCCAAGGTAGACAGTAGCTGAGGAACAATACTAGAGCTTGACCTCTGGCCTACACACACACACACACACACACACACACACACACACGTTTCCTTGAAATATCATACCAATAACAGGAAGAGCAAGAAGAGATTATAAGGTAGAGCATCTGTATCCACAGAACATCACAAGTCCTCAACAGCCCTCCGGAGTCCCCCTGACACCTCTTCCCTCTTCTGTAGGGCCAGCCACTGTCATGACCCCTTACATCCCTGACTCCAGGAAGTTCAAAAGATGAAATTCAGCAGAGTCACTCATATGTTTGACTTGGCTTTCTCCTTCAACCTCGGGATCACGACATAGCCTGTTCACTCTAATTCCCAATTCAATTCCATCTTATGATGATTCTCATCCATTTTGTTCTGCTCTGGCTGAAATTTGAGGTTGTTTGTAGCTTGAGACTGTTGTGAATAATGAATGCTCTGGGAAGTTTCTGCTAATGTGCCAGACCTCTGTTTGGAGCATACCGAGGAGACCTGCTGGGTGCTCTAGTTTCATTCCGTTGTTGTGATAAAATACTCTGACCAAAAGCCACTGGGGGAAGAAGAGGTTTATTCCAGCTTACAGGGTTCAGTCCATCATTGAGAGAAGTCAGGGCAGGAAAGGGGAAACCATGGACAAACAGGACGTGTGGCTCACTCTCAGGTTCAGGCTCAGCTGGCTTTCTTATACAGTATAGGCCTGCCCACCTGCCCAGGGAATAGTACCACCCACGGTGGGCACCCTCCTGCATCAATTAAGAATCAGGACAATCCCTTACACATCTGTCTATAGGTCCATCTGATCAGGGAAATCCCATAACTGAGACCCTCGTCTCAGATAACTCTAGGCTGTATCAAGTTGACAGTTAATTAGGACAGTGGATCAAAGCATAGGGGATGCTCAACTGTAATGCCATGCCATCTTCTAAGGGGTCCTAATGTTTTATTCTTCCACTAGCTGTGTATGAATGCTGTGGTTGCTTCACACCTTCACCAACACTTGGCCCTGTCGATCTTGAATGCTGGCTATGATGGTGGGGGACATGTTTGCAGTTTACTGTGGTTTTAATTTGCTTCCCATCATGAATAATGGAGGTGACCATCTTTTCATATTGACCATTTTAAACACCCACATGTTAATCAGCTTTCCATTGCTGTATCAAAACCCCAGAGGTAGTAAATTATTTATCAAGAGACTACTTTTATTCTGGCTCCTGGTTTTATAGTTTCCATTCCCTGATTACTTGACCCCATTGTTTCAGGCCTTATGAAAGTAGAGCTTAGTGGAGTGAAAACGCTCACCTTGTGGGAAGATTACAAAGGAGACAAAGATTAAGGTCCTACAGTCTCTTTTGAGGTCACACTCCTGACACCTCCCACTAGGCTACCTCTTCAAGGTCCCATCACCAGCCAGTAGTACCAAGCTGGGGACCAAGCCTTTAATACGTGGGCTCATATTCATAATATAAATAATAGGACCTCATTCT